TTTTGGGAGAAAGAATATTGGACAATCCCCATATACATATTATATATCATATAATGTAATATCTATAATTACTATATGGTATATAGGGGTTATAATAACCCTATATATAACACCTATATACCATATAGTAGTTTCCATTTCATTTTCCACTATCCTGACATTGTACCCCTAAATCCTAAACCCTAAGCCCCCACAACCCCAATGCCTCACATGTGGCTGAACATTGTTTGGGCGCCCCGTGGCGTGCAGAACGGGAGTTTTCTATTTCGTGCAGGAAATGATCCATCTACGGCACCCGTCAATTCAGGCAACCTATGTGGCCGACTGTAATTGTTTGTCTGCAAGGGCAGCAGGTTTCTCGTCAGTTGGGGGCATGTCTGGGGGTTGGTGATGTGAATGCAGAATCTAGTTTAACCACCAAGCATGCGCAAAGAGTAGAGTAATGCCTGAATCATCGAAGTACATGTTCACAGACACCATGGCATCGAATCAGAACCACCTCATTGGCGTGTGTAGATAAGGATCCGGAGGTGGTTGTCTCGCATGACAGGGAAACAAAGGCGGGCCATTCTACTTAACCCAGAACCCTTGACCCCAACCTTCTTCCCGAACCCAGAAAAATTGCCGCGAACTTTCGCCTGCCCCTACCTTAAACCCAAACTTAGAACCCTAACAACTACACCTTGAACCTGACAGCCTTAAACCCTACAGCCTCTACCTTGAGCCCTCACGCCTACCTGAGAGTCAAACAGGCACTTCCTGTGGATGATCCGGGATCGCAAGGTGTCTGCTCTAGAGGCTATGGACTGGATGGGGGCATTGGAAGGAGGGCAGTTTAGGTACTTGGGGCACTGGGCTTTTAGGAGAGTTTGTCGTCCAGAGTTTGAGCACAGGGTTTGATAATACCTTCGTGCAGCTTCGCAGGGAAAGGTTAACAAGTGAGCCTTGGGATGTTTGGGGATGATCCCTCTTTTTGACAGATGTAATCAGGGATGTCTACACTGCCTCCTGCTTCAGGCGCCGCGGCGTCGGCAACCGCATGAGTCTCTTCAAGATACAAGTGGAGGTACAAAGTCCTGTGGACATGACACATTAAACTCTTTCCAGGGCACTATGAAGATTGAACTCTAGCCTGCTTTCCGCTCGAGACTCGGGTCAACCTTACTGTGGAGCCGCTGTGCATCTTCCTTTGATCGCAGGTCCTCCAAGTCGTTACAGATGCGAGTTGACGTCATGAAGGATTGATGGGCTAGGCTGACTTTGCTTCAATCTGCCCTCTGAATACTAGTAGTAACTAAGAAACTGTAATCTAAACATCCTAGCTAGCAAGCGCAAGCAAACGGTCTGTGGGCCCCCTTCAGACGATAAACGTATAGGCTCTGGCAATTAAGCCTCGCAGAATGTAAGAAAGGCTATTCCGGCTCAGGTTGGCATTTGATGCCGGAGTCTGGAGAGTTAGGAACACCACCCACTCCAAATCCTTGTCGCTCATTTTACCCCAAACATTCTAGGTATGCAGGCACCTCCCTCTAATCTTTTCGAGGCCAAGATCTTTCCCGTACAATTTGAACACATCTATGTACCCTCGACATTTTACGGGTACTAGTGCTGAGAAGCTTCAGATCACTGGCTTGCCGAAGAAGAAGCCCGAGTGCCGCAAGTTCACAGCCAAGGGACTTCCACGAAAGGCTGCTGGGCCATGACCTTATAAAGTTGGGATTCAGGGCTTGCTTGCGCTCGTAAGATGCCATGCAGAGTAAACTGAAGTTCCACACTGGTCGCAGTGTTTGCAGTGTACACTGTCATTTGGTGTTGTGATTCATCCTTGCCGCTTCACCGCAAGAAGTCTTCTTGCGGCGCAACATGCACGAAGAACCAGCACAGAGCGGCGCGTTCCTGAGACTTGGGGGCTGCTTTTAGAGTTGAGGGTCCTTGGCACTGCATTCACTTGACTCTGCAACCTGATACATCCAGACACAAGGAGAAGCATGTGTACCGGCTTTCCTAGCCAATTGCAGTGGCTTTGCCCGACTCAAAATCACAAGGTGGACTTGCCGTCTACCCAGGGTGGATTGTCCCCTCAGAAGACTCCACATCCTTGCACAGAGATTCAATGCATCTTGAATCCCAAGCCTAGGCTTCCAAGGCAGCATGCCTGGATGCGAATCCTCCTACATGTGTTGTTCACTCTGTCAACCTGTAGTCAAAAGCTGCGGATCCTGCCCATTAAGTTTAGCTGGCCCCTAAATTAGAGAAAGGCCCCCTTGAGTCCCATGATTCCTGCTCGAGGCCAATGGCCATTTCGGCGCAGCTTGGTCTTTCCCAAAGAAGGATGGCTCCACTACGCTGTGACGTGTCTGCACTGGCTAAGTGGCAGGCGTTAGGGTAGGTGTACTACGGATGAATAGGCATTTTCAGAGTCCTTCGTACTACGAGTTACATCCTATGATTCAAGCCAAAACACTGATTTCAGCAGCAATCATCTGAAGGCCCTCCAGAACTCTCATGAACCTGTTTAGGTGGCCTGACCATTGATGCTTTCATGTGTTTGGGCAAAAGCTTGGTCACTTTCATGCTAGTAGAAATTTTGGGGTGGCTTCCGACTTTAGGTGCACGTAATCCTTTAGATTTCTGTGCTGTTTTTCCGCGTGTGTTGGCTGGAAACCCTGCCAGGTACATGTCGCACAACGGCGGCCAAGGGGTCTTTGCCATTGACAAAGCACTCCTTGACTTGGGTTCCTCCACAGTCGTCGTCTACAAGGCTGCGGCGGGGAACTAGACATGGGGCACATACATCCGATTGGAGATAAGCGTCCCAAGACCAGTTTGTCTCTTGTCTATTGCGTGCCGGAAATCTGAGCCTCTTGCCTTGAAAATCCTCCTGCTGCCCCACATTGGATGCTTGTGCTTAATGGATTCAATCATTCTGCGTGCGCCATGCAGAACATTTCATCTTCATGGAGGTTGGGTTTGCGGGTTACATCAAGCAGCCCAGCCAAGACATGAACCTCACATATTTCTGTTTAAGCTGTAAATTAAAGAAGCTTGATAATGGGTTGGAAGTCGTCACTGCCTGAGTCAGGCTGGCGAGTCCGAGAAGACTTCGCAAAACGACGGCGCGAACTGCAAGCATGTTCAAGCAGAAACCCCATTCGAGGAGACTTGCTGTGCTTTAAGATGCGCTTGGAAGCTCTTGATACCAACATTGGGCTAAAGATTAGGCGATATTTCGCGACTTGGGAGCCTGTCTTGCTTAGACGCTTTCACAGCAGATTCTTGTGGGTTTGGCTAGTTAGCCTAGGACAACTTGGTTTTAGATCTGATCAAACCCTTAACCCTGAACCGTGTTGGTGGAGGGTTTAGAGTCTACGTTTCAGGATTTATGGCCGGCTGCAGCCCAGGGCCAGCCAATGCGTTTGATCATTAGCCTCTTGCCTAAGCTTAAGGGTCCTGACATACTCGTGGCAGGCATCGCGATTACTTAACTTACGGAGCTCGAATTCCCCCAATTCTTGCAGAACTGACAATCCAGATCCTTTAAGTCCAAACCCTTATGTCAAAAGCCACAGGCTCCACACAAAAATGCAGTGCCAGAACCCTGCCCGCACAGCTAAAGAAGCTTTTGTCACGCAGGCTCCTTTCTCAAAGAAGCCTTTTACGTAGCACGGGGATCTTGCAAGAACTATGTTCCTCCACCAGCAGCTAGCAAGGCCCAACCACATAACCATTCAATCTGACTTCGCACTGCGCAGGCCACCCCTGCACCTGAGCTTCAGCAGCAACTCCAGGAGCTTCAGCAGGCACCATGGGGCCTGTGGAATTGGAATTCGGATTTGAGGAAAGTTCAGCTGCGGCATCCAAAACAACCAGTGATGAGCCCTTCTCTTTACACAAATGTGTTTGTATATGCATGAGTAAGAGCCCAGCAAACCATTTGGGCAAGAAGGAAGGATTGTCGGCAACTTGTTCCCTTTACTTTGAGGTTGGGCTCTAAGCTTACCTGACAAGACAGACTTAAGTCTGCTCTAGACACTGAGCTGGCCGCCTTCAGATCTTGAGGCTGTTACCCTCATTAGTCTCAGAGGTTTTGGGTATTGTACATAGGAATCTCAACCTCGGAAGCTCCGGAAAAGTTCCATGCTTGCAGGCTCAACAGGAACCTCTGAAGGCCGAGCCGCCAGAGCCATCACCGGCAGCCTGGTGCAAGCAGTCCAATGTTCTACAAGTACTACTTGAGCTGGCATTTTCGGATTTCGCCATGTGCACGTCCCAACCAGGCGTGAAGCATTCTGAGAAGCCTTGAAGCATTGTGCTTTCCTAGCGCTATCTATCGGCTGCGTGTGCGGGGTGCTGATGCTCAAGGGCACTGTTGGAGGTTTGGGTGTGCCGCTGACTCAAGTCACGCCACATCTTCAGAAGCAATTCTACAAGTTTGTATTATATATCCCGAGATGAGTGACGGATTGGTGGTATGAGACTCATGCAAGTGCCAGAATCAGACATGTTTCTGACCTAACTCCTTAATAGTTATTTAGACCGAGACCATAGGCTGTTGATTGGCGGCCAGAGTTAGTTCACCCCTCCAGAGCCTGAGCTGGAGCAAACGAGGGAGCAGTGCCCAGGGTTCAGGCCCGTTTGAGATCAAGAGCGTAAGTCGCGGCTGCGCCCTAGGCTGTTAGGAATTTGATTTGTGCCGCTACGGTTCCTGGAGGTGTTAAGCAGAACACGGGAAACAAGGAAAACATCCGACTGGCCCGTAGGGGTTGTGGAGACATTCACAGACCGAGCAAGGCTTGCGCACGGCGTTTGGGACATTTCCAGCACTACAGAGGCACACATATGGAGGTACAGGGAAGCAAGCAGGCAGGCAGACCGAAACTGACAAGTGGTTTGGGGGGTCCTAGGGAACCAGGAAAGTTGAATGCTGATGACGAGCCACAGCAAATTCGTGCCCTGTCAAACCTGCGTGTTTTCCGGCGGAGAAAGAACCTATAAGCAGAGAGCCGCCCAAGCTACCGAGCATGCGCTGGCTTGGCCAACTTGGGCTGTAGCCTAGATTTCAGGTTTCGGGTTGCGGGTTTGAAGTTTCAGGCTTAGGGCTGCGGATACAGGATTTAGTGTTAGGGGCTCAGCACTTTGAATGAAGGGCTTGCAAGAAATCCTTACAGGCCAAGGCCTCTCCGTGGCTTCACAGGCGATGATAGAGAAAGTTATTCCGAAACTCCAAATGGTACCTTCAGACAGTCACGGGTCCAACTTTTTGTTGCGTCATGCCATTGCAGGGTCTCCGGTGAAATTCCAGGCGCAATTGCGGATCTTTTCCCCTCCTGTCGATGAAGGAGAGTGCTAAGTATATCTGCAAACCTGGATTGGGAGGTTCCAAAAGGAGGGTTCCCATTTTGAAGGGATTCAGGCAAGAATCCTCATCCATCCTTACCATTAGTCTTATGTTTTCTGGGTGAGTATGCTCATCTGGAGACCCACATCCCACATGCTCAGGTTCAGAAGGACCCTGCCTTGCCAGAGACGACAGCAGGGCCAAGCGCAGCATGGCTAAGACCTATGGGCGAAGCTTATCAGATTTTTTGGGACCTGGTGTGTCTTATTTGTTCAGCCATGCCGTGTCTGTCATTGGATGATTTCTCAGGCTACCAATGACCCTGTACCTCCCGAAGGGGAGAAGCCAGCGCCTCCCGAAAGGGACAAGCCAATGCTTCCTCAACAAGAGAAGCCAGACTATGAGTAACTCGGCATTTTTGTTGACCATAAAATAGAGACTCAAGGATTTGCACCGGGCAAGGAACATTTGGTCAGCTGCCCATTTGGGAAGTTGCGCGCGTCCAGGCTAGTCTGTCACTTTTCGTGCGGAACAAGACGTTTTATAGTCGTGTCAATTTGCAAACTGCGCCTCAAAAACGAAAAGCAGGAAGTCAGCAGGGCCGAGGGGTCCGCGTTATTGTGGTTTTTTGTTTCTAGGGTTGGTGGTCTTAATCACAAGCTTCATTCCTGATAAACTCCTGCCCAAAGCCAGGCAGAGCTGATACCACGAAAACTTGCGGACCCAAAGACTTGCCGGGGATCATGGGAATTATTGCGATTAGTTTTGTGCGTTGTAGTGTTTCAACTTTAGGGTGCAGCTCTTGTTGGATTATCCTGCAGAGCATGTCTTTCTGTGATGTAGGCCGTGAAGAAACCGATTGATTACAGCGGGAAAAGGCTTCAAATGCCAGGTGCTTCGGAGCAAATTGAAGGGATGAACCCCCCCTCTGCCGGACTTGCCTGCGTGCGCTCTGGCTCTGGTGACCAGTTTCTGTTTTTTCTGCGCGCTATCTCGGTAGACCGAGGAGCAAGCAAGTGAGTGAGTGAGGGGGGAGGGTCACGCGCATAAGGAGCAATTAAAGACCGAGTAACCCCACATGTGTAGTTTACCGGAATCAAAACGATATACAAAAAGAGAGAAAAGAAGAAGAAGATGAAGATGTGTGTAGAGGAAAGATGAGAAGAAAAGATGGCAATCGGCGACGAGTCGAAGTGTGAGTTGCGCAGGGAGGATTTAGGATCTAGAAGGGTTCAAATTCTCGGCTTTCATGGGTAGACTCTTTCGCCTTTACCCTTCAAATTCTCCACTTGAACGCTTAGACTCTTTCGCCTTTACCCTTCAAATTCTCCTCCCATTACGGTCAGACTATGTCGCCAGTACCGTGAGACTGACCCTTCAAATTCTCCACTGTAACGGTTAGAGTGTTTCAATTTCGCCTTTACCCTTTAAATTCTCCACTTTTTCGGTCAGACTATGTCGCCCGTACTGTGAGACTTACCCTTCAAATTCTCCACTTTTACCGCTAGACCCTTTCGCCTTTACCCTTCAAATTCACTGCTTTTACACTTCGAGTCCTTCGCCTTTACCCTTCAAATTCTCCACTTTTGCGGTTTGAGTATTTCGCCTTTACGATTGGACTATGTCGCCCGTACTGCAAGACTGACCCTTCAAATTCTCCACGTGTATGCCAAGACTTTTTCGCCTTTACTCTTCAAATTATCCGCTTTTACGTTTGGACTCTTCAAATTCGCCAGTTTTACGGTCAGACTATGTCGCCCATACTGTGAGACTGACCCTTGAAGTGCCAATTAAAGAATGGGCGCTAAGGGCACGTCTTTCTTTAGCTCCGCATGTGCTGCGTGGGTTTGTAAAAAAAAAAAAGTGAAAGGTTTGGTCTAGAGCTTGAGATTTTCACCAGGGATCCACAAGCAATTGAGCGAGTCAGGGGGGCGAGCGCATTCACTGCAAAAACTATGTTTCAAAGAACGAGGAATGTTCATCATCAGGGAGGAATGGAGGAATATTAGGGACTGCAAGTGTGACTGGGGCTTCTTCCATAGGATTTAGGTAGTGTGTGTGGAGGATACGTTACACAGCCTGAGAAGCCCGACACCCCAGGAAGTATGTCAGCTTGGGGATCCAAAATTGCCAATATCCCCTCCATCCACCGTAGTTGATGGTATCCGTGTGCTTCATGTAAGGTGGGTGCTGATGGGCGCCCACACTGTGTGTCGCCAGGCCGCTCTAGTGATGTTGCGAGGAAGCCGCTGTTTTGTTGTAATCCATTTGCAAGTCCTTACATCTTTAATCACGCATTGTTTTTGGAAATTCTCAGCGTACCTCAAGTCTCAGAAGCCTCACATGCGTGGGGAAGACGCTTGCAGCCCAATATCACACAATTTAGGGTGTTGAATTCTCTGAAGATTGCACATCCGTTGCAGAACATGTCCCTACAATTACAAGGAGGACCCCAAACATTTGTGGGAGGGTTGCAGTGTTTGGGAGAGGCGGGGGCCTGTACACACAGTTCAGTCCTAGGGGGTACACAATTGTCGCCTAATCCATTGGGAACCCAACGCACATGCTCTTTGCAGGACACATCAGATGGCATCATCTGGCCACAGCAAATCACGGGCAAAGTTGCAACCATCGCGCATGCCCCATGGAGCAGAATTTCAGGGCCGCAGAGTTTCAAAACTCAGGTGTTGCCGTTTTAAGTTCTCACAGAGCGAAATGTCAAAGGTTAAGGTTTGCAGGAACACATGCCGGGTAGAGCCAGACTCTTTTAGTCCTGGCATGTGGCACCTGACCTAGAATCCATATGAATATGAGACCTTGTCATCCTCAAGGTAGGGTCAGGTGAGAGGAATCGTTTGAAAAAGGTCACAGGAGGTCTTCTAAATCTACCAACGCTGCCTTTCACCCGTACTTACGAGCCTGAGCATCGGATCTTGGAAAAACCACATGCTGAGGTTTGCATCGTCCAGCCCTGCACTGTCATACCAAAAGACACTTGGCTTGCTAAGATTCATAAATGGTAGCTTCCATTTATTTTCCATTATCCCAGTATAACCCCCATAAAACCCATATATATATATATATATTACAGTTCAGATTTGCTGCACGGGATTCCTCATCAGCAGCAGTGATCTAAGCTTTAAGATTGGGAGCTTAGATTTCAGCGGTGGGTGGACTAGGTTTGTGGGTCACATATAGGGCGCTGAGTGCCGTGACGCCCCCCTGCCATCTTCCTGGTAGAGTCATTGCATGTTCTCATCCTTAGCAGCCTTAGCATTAGTAGCACTGTTGTCGTGACTATGGCGATCACAGCAATGATTGCAGTCACCTCCTTGGCTGTTCTCACTAATTACTTCTTTCAGGCCAGTGATTAAATATGTTATCGGCATGGCATGCCTCTACCGTGATGACAACAATCCTCAGGCATTTGGGCTGCACGCACAAGAGTGGAGTATGGCATGTTGGAGAAAACTAGCAGCAACAAGAATACACATGTCAAAACTCCTCAAAGCACGGCCTAAAAATGCAGCTGTGGACCCTAGACCCCAGAGCCCAACACCCGAAACCGCGACACGGAACCTACATACAGAAGATTGCTCAAAATTGTGGTCTCTTTGCTGTTGTGGACCATCGAAAAGGATCCTGGTTTTTTTTTGGAGATATGCTCAGGGGCTAGGAAGCTTTATCTCGAAACATCAATATAGGAGTTTCTCAAAATCTTCCCTAGACCAGTAGGCCCTTTGTTCTCCCGATACACCCTGGAGTCTCTCAGAACACCCTGATTCCCGGAAATCCCCCCATCCTAAACCCTCACCCTCACCCTCAACCCCAGACCCCAAATCCTGAATCCCGAGCTGCGGCCCAGAACGTAACTCTGGGCGTCCCCGAATGCCAAGCGCGCTGCTTGGACTTTGACGGCTGCGCCGATGCCTGAGCCAGGGGTAGAGGTTTTTCTGGCTTCAGGACTTCAAGATTTCCCGTTTATCAAACCCCCCCGTTCGGGTATGGGATTTAGGTTGACGTCCCCAATCTAACCAGAGGATGGTGTTAGTGACTATGGTATAGACCCCGCCTTAAGCCACCTTATTCGCAAGCTGCTGCTTTTCTCAGAGGCAAGGTGTTAGGAATTTGAAGAGTTGGGTTTTAGGGCCCCTACGGCCCATATGAGTGGAACATTCAGGCCTTTGGAAGTGTAAGTTTACGCGCACCAGTGACATTTGTGAAGCCACGTGATCCCCCTCGCACCTGAATCGCCCCAAGCCAGAATCGTCAAGAGGCAGCCATCGAATATCGCCACTCCGAGTCGCGATGCGAACTTTTAGCGCGAAGGAGCCCGTTGTAGGATTTCCTGCAGCAGAATGAGAAGTGGGTTTGGTCAGTGTTTCTAAGCCTCGCACTTTGGAGCCAGGGGTCCCCCCATCCCCCCATTTTGGCATCCGCGCTGTCACATACTCCCAGGAATTGAGACCCACGCTTTTGAGATGCTCTTGCGGTCCACCATCCAGACTTTACGGCAAATCTCCTTCAGAGACACTAGGTCCAAAAAGGTGAAGTAGCATTAGGGAGAATTCTACCAGACGGATCCATACTTTCCTACGAAGCACCAGATACAATTGTCCCGGCGGCCTTTTCTGATACGCCATAAGGCAGAATACGTGCGGGCATTTCTCGAAAAATACACATGATTCCCTTCATAGTCCACAGCCGTTCCTTTGCAAGTGGGGTACGAGCTTTTGGCTTGTACCTTTTCCTTGGGTGCACGTACAGTCTGATCTTGTGGCCAGGCAATGGAAAACGTTTGAAACTTGGGACCTGATGTTGAACGGGGAGTTCTGGAGCACGCTCTGACAGCCTCTGCCCCTAAATGCCCTGAAGATCCTTACAAGAGATGGTTGTTTCCAGGAGTATTGGATCCTTTATTGCCGGGCCTCACCTCAACCCCAGGCAACCTGCGCCGTGCCAGGACGCAGTGGTTCGTGAATAATGAAAAGATACGCACTGTCCCAGGACCGGAAGTTGTTTCAGGTTGAGGGTTTAGGCGCCTTGTTGGGGAGTACAGCACATGGGAGTATCTACAGAGCTTGGGGCATTGGGCTGCGCGGTTTGCCTTTCAGATGCAACGGCTCAAGAGAACCAGTGTGGCACAAATGCAGCTTGTTGTTCTGATTGCAGGGCCTTGAAATTGTGGAGCACTGAGCGGGAGCTT